TTGGTTTAATGTAAGTGGCTATTGTTCTGGACGAACAATACTAAGGAAGGGGTAGAGTTACGACAGTGGAAGTCACGTGACGCTAGTAACACGTCATGAGTTTCTAGAAGGATCATGACTGTTTCTGGCAAGCGGAGAAATAATAGCAGATAAACAGATATAGAGACAGATATTTGAGTCAAGTGAGCGGTAGTGACCGTAAGTAAAGTGCGTGAATCGTTGTGAATTATAGCGTGTGTTTAAGTTAAAGTGACTTTGGAAATTCTGTGTATTGCAAAGTTGTATTGAGAAAGAATAAACTAGTTTTATTTAAGAAAGGACTTGTATCGCTGAAGTTCCTCGGAAAGAATTTTTACGAGAAATTAACAAACGACCAGAGACGTAACAGTATAATAATATATCTGCAGTCTAATGTGTTTTCTATCGCTGTTGTTGTGAGGTCCGTTTTTGATTTTGTAATTTAAAGGTTAAATAGAGGAAAATGTGTGCATTAATTATGACGTTAAGACCAGAAATGTTTAATAAGATAGGCCTAGAACATTAAAAAAAACAACCCATAAGAGCCTTCTAGTACATTCGGAGCTAGATTATAAACACGATGTTCCGTGAAGCATCGTTAAGTTAGTTGGAGAGCGAGTTGAAAGATAGTCAAGAATATAGTTACGAGAGTGTAGAGTTATTTAAAAACAGAGAGTTAACCATTTATCTATCGCGGTTATTTTGTACAAGTTGATTTGTTTTACGTTAATTAAGATTTTTGTAACGTAAGCCAACAAGAGTTTATGACAGTGTACAAGAATTCAAGTTTGTAGAAATGTTATAGTTTACGTTGACTCATTTTCTTCATTTATTTTAAAAGAACCCGCCAACGAAAGGAGAATGCTTTGATACTATTTTTAGGCCTAAGGAGATTTATTAACATAAGTGTCAAAGCTGAGGTAGGCGGATCTAATAAGTACGTAGCACCAACGGTGGTTGAGGCACGTAACGTAACAAACAATATTCAAGTGATGCGTCAGCGAGGTCACGTGACTAGTATCACGCCA